TGCCACATAATCAATGGCCCTAATATCCCACTGTCACAAAATCTGCTGCGAGTTTCAACACCATTTTAACTCTTTGTCTGCACTGATACTCACCTATTGATCAATTAAACATAGATTGAATACTTACTGTTGAAATATTGGATATGCAAACAGGAATCACTAAAAGTCCTAATACATTCATTTACTGAATGCTGAAACCACTAAGCTGAAGCTGAGGATTTTATTCAGCATCAGAAAAAGGAGCTTCTCTCTATGCTGCCATGCTGGTTCAGAGTGAAAGAAGAGGCTGGTTTACTCAGATAATCCCAGAAAATGCAGGAACCATAAAAAGCGTAAATGAGCCTTTCCTGTCATGATTCCTCCACTGTGAAAACCCCTTATCTAAGCTTTCTTCTACAAACCATTAAAAATTACAGTTTTTATTTTTCTTGTTTTATGTCATTCTATGAATACTGAAATGCTGAGTCACACAGAGTCTAATCTTGAAAATAATAGAGATAAAAAATTTCTCATTTTCATTCCTTAAGATTCTGTCATTTCTGCAGCTCAGAGTGCTTTATTTTCTATTTGATTCTGTAAGAAAGGCTTCAATGACATACACTCTCGGCTTTCCAGCTTAAAGAAAGAGTTTGCGTAAAGATGAGCAAGCAGGAAATTGCTCATACCATAATACGAACTTTAGATGTATAATAGCAAGACAAAAGAGAAATATCAAATTTCTCATGGTTTTAAATCTAGTTTTAGCAATAATTTAGCTGTCCAGAAAAGAAAATTGCATTTAGACAAAGCAAAAATATCCCTTAAGCTCTTTATAACAGAAAATAAATCATAGAGAAATTGCACAGAGCATCAACCTTGGAGACTAAACTGGTAAAATGAAAAACTTTTTATTTAGTTTTTATTCATAAATACAGTAAGTTGTTTAAAAAGCCTATATTTACTTTGTTTTTTTGTTTTTTTGTTTTTTTTTATATATATATTTACTTTGTTGAGTAATGGGAATTGAAAGATTATTTAGTGGGAAATACGAAAGAGTTACATAATGATCAAAGAAAAATACATGATAATTTGTTCCAAATTATCTTATAAAATATTTGAAGCAGTAAATAAAAGCTCTGTGCTAGAAATGCATCACCCAAAAGCAAAGTTGGTGAAAATCTACCACATATAATTGCTAATTTATAAAAAAGAAATATTTCTGCAACATGAATATAGTATGAATTAAGTGAGGAAATTTTTAAGTGAACTTCTGAAGTGGAATGAATCCTGGGGGACAGCGACATTTTATCATGCTAAAACATCCAGACTTGACTCTTGGAATGGATGTGATGGGGAGAGATTTGCTTTACCAGACAAGAAGTTTTAAGATTGCTGATTAAGTGATAAAAGAATTTGAATTTTGACAGGAAAAGGTGTTTTGCACACTATTGCTTGGCTATATTTTGCAGATAGCAGAGGAGTGGACCATGCATTAGAGTTCACCATGCAATCTTCTTCCTGCTCAACAAAGCTTAATTGCAGCTGGATAGGGCAGAAGCACCGTGAGGCTCATATTCTCTGTCTAATTCAGTGATTTTAACATCATGAGGTCTGCTTTACTCTGCAGAAAGCTCTGAAAGATGCAGCTAAAATGACTTGCTGGTCACCTTTTTGAATACCCCAGTATGTGAGACAGCAGAACATCACCTCGGACACCTTGGATTACCACATTGGCCCCTCAGGGCACACCCCTCTGGCCCTGTTCCCACTCTTCAGTCTTCATTGATAACTCACAGCAACACCTGTTGCCCTCTACAAGAAAGGGCAGAGTCGCCTATTTTTCTGAGGAAACTCCTGTCTTTTAACATCATTAGGGTCATGCTGCAGATGTTTTATGACACAGCACTCTCCCCTGTCACCCTCTACAGTGTGATGTGCTGGGCCACAAGGGTGAAGAAAGCTGATGCCAACAGTTTCAATAAGCTCTTCCACTGATCTATCAAACTCTTCAACTTCTCTTTATCCACATAGGACAATAACATCAATCTTACATAACAAACCTCAAGAATCTGTATGCATAATATCTATTTCAAACTTTTTTTTTTGGTACTTTAGTTTACACTTGCTTATCGTGCTATATTAATTTATTTCTTTTTTGTTTTATTTTTTTTTAATATTATCTGTGATTTCATCGGCATGTTCCTTTGTATTAGCTGTGGTTTTACATTTTTTTGTAAGATCAAAAATGTTATTACCTACGGTAAAATTTGGTCCATCCAGGGTAACTCATTGGTTTAACCTGGTGCCCGTAAATTAATGAAAGTGTTTTATTTTCATTAGATTTTGATCTTCTTTACAATGTTTTCTATTCATAAAGGTATTTTATTTACTTTGCTCATTTTTTGGCAGGAATTCTTGCACTTTTATACGATCTTAAGCCAAATCATTTATTCCACTTGATTATTTGTTTAGCAAAGAAGCATAAAACATACATTTCCATTTGCACAGCTTTAGTTAATATTTGATGATTTATGTGATAATGTTCTTTGGGTCAAACTTAAATTTGCATCTGCTCAAATATACAATATTTTTCCAGCTAACTTTCCTCTTGGTGACTGTTTCATGGAGATCCTAAGCCATCCCCAGGTTAAAGAGAATATTTAGTCCCTCTCGCTAAATTTGGGTTTACATCACTGGGGCATACTTGGAAAAGTTCCTAATCAAAGCATCTGCTCCCTTTTTGCTCATCTGCAAGGACATTTCACCATACTTGAACTTTTTCTACTAAGCCTGAATCATGCAAACTTATGTTTCAACATCCTTGACAAACATAACTCTTCACGTTCCATTTTTTTCTTATTTATGTTTCTGCTTTTTGAATCTTTTTCATCCAAGAAGTAAAAACATGCTGACAGCGATTGGCTTTGCAACCTGCCTCACTCTGCGTATAAACTCTGATATAAAGCATTGGAAAAAGAATTAGAGAAGTGGAAAAATAACTGCTTTCTATTTCTTTTCTTTAGTGCTATTTGAAAAGAATTGAACTAAATCTTGCCTTGTACAAGAATAATACACAGTTTGACATTTGGCATCACCGTGGCCCATAAAGATTAACATTTTGTTTTTCTTAAAGCATAGTTCTCCCCTCAACTTCTGATTGACATCTGGTGTTTTATCCAGCTTTCTCAGTCAGTTTCTTTGGGTTTTCCTTGGCATAGATCACAAGCTATCCTTTCATCTCTCTCATTAAGCCCTATCCTGAAAATTTCCATCAAGCTAAAGCCAAAATTCCTAAAGCTTCTTCCTTACTTCACACTCTAAGTCTCTAAAATGTCTCTCCAATGAATGCAAAATAGTCACTTCTTTTCCTTACTGATAGGTCAACTTACTCTCTTTGAACTGGAATTTTCTTTATTTGTTTAGTTTGAAATTTGCTCTGGGAAGTTTCAAATTTCCTTTTTATTTGCACATACCCTTTTAACATAGCTTTAGCATTATAAAAAATGAGATATACTTATGTAAGACACCATGCATTATAATTGTAAGCATGCTAATGTTCCTTTGGGTCTATGCAAAGGTCAGAGCCACAGTGTTCTTAAAGCATGAGCAGTCTGAAAGCATGCAGGTCAATGGGACTTAAGTGTGATTAGAGTGTGGTGAGATGACAGGTAATGTAGGAAAACATTTTAAGGCATAATTTTGAATTAGGTTT